ATATATATATAGCAGTGACCGATTGTGACCGATTAAATTGCTATTGAGACTTTATATTAATATAAAGAAGGCACAAGTTAACATTTTAATTATAGGTATTTGTTTAAGAGTGCATTAACACATAGACAATGGTTAATATGTATGTATCTGTAAGAATACGGTAAAATAGAGGTGACAGCTCTAAAAAACATAAAAATATTACTCTTACACACTAGCGGATCCAGGATTTAATTTTCAGTTTAAAGAGCTTCAGCCCAAAAGCTTTTTTTCATAAAAATAACGATAATTACTTGGGAAAAAAATAAAGAATCTACCTACCTATATGAAATGGTGTTTAAGTGATTCCTACAGTCCTTTTAAATGTAATTACACGAACAATAATACCTTAAGAGATAATTTTTAAATATTTTTTTTTTTCATAAAACATGGTTATATTTTACCATTTTTTGGGGAGGGGCTTCAGTCCCAAACTCCCCCTCCCCGTAGATCCGCCCGTGCATATATTCGGAAGATTGATTGCTGAGGATATGGATAAATAAATGGTGTTTTTAAATGAAACAGTTCTTCGTTCTATAAGAAGGAATAAACAGGTTTGTGAGCTGGGATCTCGTATTGAAAGAATTTACAGAGGAGCAGGGAATCAACAGATCAAGAAGGTAAGAAGGTTTTTTGTTACAAAGGTTCGGAGAAGGAAAACAACTAAGAAATATTGCCATCGGGAAGCTGGATAGAGCCAATTCTGCTCGGCGTATCACCTGGAGACGTGGGAGCGCCTGGGGCTCCAAAGATGAATCTAATGAAACAATTCATTAGTCTCTTCAATCTGATCTCGAGCCCACGAGACAGTCCACCGTATACAAGGCAGCCATAACCAAAGTGAGAGAAAATGAAAATGGAAAGTAATAGCTGATGGATTTTTAGGAGCAAAGAATCACGAAATCTTAGGAACTGTTTTGAGGTAGCAATAGATTTTCGGATAATTTGGGAAATATGATTGTTCCAGGAGAGTTATTGATCGAAAATTACTCCAAGATTTCTAACAGAATTTTGGAAATGAATAGGCAGTCCATTGATGTAGAGTAGAGGATAATAGGGATGGAATTGATAAAATGCTTGGAACCAATGAGAATGGCCACAGATGAACTTTAAATCAGTGCTCGCTTCCCATGTGGTAATGCCATCGCGTGAGAGAGCGAAGCTTCCTGCTGGACACCACGAGCTAGTAAAATGAGAAAGGAAGGAGTTTTATCGGGAACGATGATTGTTTGGGATCGGTGATACAAGAAGGTATGGAACCACTTTAGGGCGTTATTTGATATGGAAAGGTTTTCTAGATTGGAAAGGAGGATTTCATGGTTAACGGAATCGAAGGCTTTTGATAAAAGAAACGGGACTAGGATAGCGATTTTATGTTTATCTATGGAGCATTGAAGGTCTTGGATGATTTTCAATAAAGCAGATTGGTTGGAGAACTGGGATCGAAAACCAGATTGTATGGGATTGAAAAGAGTATTTTGCTCGAGGATGGTATATAACTGAAAATGGACTCGTCTTTCGAGAAGCTTTGAAAGGTTGAAGAGAATAGAGATGGGTCTGAGATCGGAAGCTTTGGTGGGAACCGGAACTTTACTCAAAGGGCGGAATATATTTTTTTTCAAGCTGACGGGAAACAGAAATTTTGAAGAGAAAAATTATAAATATGCATATTCCACCCCTTTTTTTGTCGCGCCAGCTAATATAGATGGCGGTTGTGTGGAGTCATCTACTCAGTCATATATTCTCTCTTCGCAGTCCCATCCGAGGTGCCTGGTGGAGAAGTCGCTTTTTATTTTTGTTAGACGTAACACCTCGTCCCGGATCGTCTAGCGGACGAAACGCACGGCGATCGACTGTGGCCTGGTGCCTTTCTCTCTCATTCGCCTTCTCTCCACCACATCCAGATCCTCGGAATTTAACTTCACACCCAGGGCCGCCCCGACGGATAAAATTATACCCTCTGGCGAACCTCCGGACTTCATGGGGATTCCCCTTAGCTGATGTGATAGCTGGGTCTGCTCTGCGTAGTTTAGCCTACCTTCCAATTTTTTATTTCCATCTTAAGGATGGTATTTTCTAATAATTATTTTTCGATCATTTCCTCTTGCTTTCTGGATCGTTCTTCCATCGATTTAAGCCGTTCTGAATTTTCGAAGGATAGACTTGTTTGTTTATCGACCGCATTTTTTCAGTCTTTTATTCCCTCGGTTATTTTACTCAACTCGGCTGAAACAACCGCGAAATTTTCTCCTATGTTACTACCTGTGTGTAGCTTTGTTACTGACTTAATCAATGGCTCACAGGTGCGGCAACACCTTAGTTTTTTTTTATCAAGTCAGCCCTGAGATATTGGCGTAGTTGTCATGGTATATATTTTTGCAATTGTGGCACGCTATGGCGGTTTTATCTTCTCTGGTAACAGCTACCTTACATGACGGTCAAGTTGCCATAACGAGTTGTTAAGTACGTTGAGACGACGCGAATAAGAGAGTGGAGGGTGGTGGGGAGTGATAGCAGTGGTGCGGGGTAAACAGCTAATGTACTCTCTTATCACAGACTTTCTAATACGGTAATAGTAACACCTAGCCAGCTTCTTCTTTGGTAGCGACTGTAAATATTAAATAATGAATATTGGATTAGAATTATTCACTATTCACCGCATATGCAGTAAACACTCTACTGATTGATTTCCAATAATATTATCAATATTATTACTTACAAACTGGCGATGGGAGTGTTTAAAAGAAAGAGAGACACAGATAACATGTTCACTATTTGACGGACAGACTGTCTACTACTACTGAGGTACTAACATAATAATCTGTACAATGTAAATTATTTTATGAGCGACGTTCTAATTCTAGGACTAATGAGAACTGATATCGTCGGCACCATGTTAAAGTAGCGAAAGTGCAATGTTGGTGTTACATCAGCTATATGTAATATATCTATTTTGTATAATCGATAAAATATGTTAGTATCATGCAAGCATGTATGGGCATAGCATAGGCTAAATGGCTCCATTTCTCACCTTTTCCCCAGTTACATTGTACAGTTTAACAACTACGAAACAGTTGGAAAGGTTCACAGTCGTTACTTTAACATGTTCCGACCATATGATGGCAAATCTCAAATTTCACATTAAATAAATATTTATTAATGCACTTGGTCTAACCGTTTCAAGAGTGCCACTGTTGTTGATGCGCACTCTCTAGAAAAGTTTTAAAAGTTTCGTGAAATGAAATGAAAAGGGGAATTCTGTTTCTTGTTTATCTGGATTTAGTGGCCAGGTGACCAACGTCCGTTGATTTATTTGGACTGTTTATTAGTTATCCACCGACCTGAATTCCACAGAACACGGATGAGATGGAGATGAGTGTTCGCGTATGTTCTATTCTAATCGGCAATCGTCACTTTTAGGCGTTTACTGCGGGTTGACGTAGACCATGGTTTCACGCCTTTTTTCTATATTTTAATTTGCTGGGTAGACTTTCGTCGCAGATTACTTTTCATCTTGTTTTATGTATTGCTTTAAAGGATGGGAGAGATTTAAGGCAGTTGAACTCGCTAAAGGGGAATTCTCTTTTTTGTTTGTCACATCTAGATCTCTCTCCGTTTTAGTATGGCGAATAATTTTATTATTAAAAGTCTTGAAGTATTTTTTTACAACCTAACTTCCTTGCGCATTAACCTCCTAATAAAGCTATGTCAATTTTAATCAGTTGCTGTTCATTGAGTGAAATTTGAATATATTTTGAATTAACTCATGCCCATGAAAGGCTAAAACTCACCTAGCTACGTACTCCCTAGAAAATCCTCAAGTCTAGGCATCTCAAATAATCAAACCAATCACAAATAAACGGTCTAAAAAAAAGTAAACAAATTAAGTCAAGTCTACTCTAAATTTTTTTTTTGAGGTGCGAAGAACGGTTATATATTTTGTTTTCCCTAAAAAAATAATTACTTCCACATTGCTACAATGGTTAGTCTAAATTGTTCTTGCTCTAGGTACGGAAGTATATGTAATTTTAAATTATACACATTTTTAAACTTGTTATAAATGTATTCAACACAAATTTACTTTAAAATATTAAAAAATAACTATTATCAAAATTTAGTAGAAATGTTGGAAAGGTAATTGATCAAAATTTCAATCTCTGCAATTTTATAACAAAGATTGAAGAATGACTGACTACATATTATTTAAACATGAGCATCTTTACTATTTATTGTCAGTGTAATCCTTCTAATCTTGTTGATCTTAAAAAAAAAATGCATAGCTTCGTTACATTTTTTCATCTACAGTAAATATTATATAACTACAAAAAAGTATATGAAGGCCAAATTAAAATTTTACTAAGTATGTATTTAAGGTCTTTTGCAGATTAGCTCCGCCAGTTATTTTCAAACAGAAAATTATCTTTTTTTAGAAAAGTATCAAGTTATATTGGAATCAATTTTGTCATTCTTTTATTATATAAACATATGTTTACATATTCATACAGGTTCCGTTCCAACAAGCACTCCTGGACTGTTTTTCCATGCACAGTACAGGTTTGGTAGCCTTGTTAGGCCACATCTAACCAATACATGGTTAGGGTATACAGGATTACTGTTAATCACTTCCATATTATTTATTTATTCATAGTTTCAGGAGTTCACTACTACAAATTACTGTGCTAAAGAATTAGGTATGGCAGAACATACTGCAAGAAGAAAACACCATGGAAAATATTTGATATTACATAAGACAATATTACTAATTGTGAATAACCTTTAAAAATATGTAAATTAGGTTAATTGTGTTTTTCTTTTATTAAGTAAAATAACTGGTTACTATTAAAAAATAACTGGCGGGACTAATCTGCAAAATACCCTGTATTTGTATACATTACGTTTCTAAAATAGTGTCGTAGAATTCATTGGAAACCAAAGAAGGTAATAAATTAGTAACACAAATAAATAAGTCATGCAAAAGTTTATTTTTTCTTATTGATTATTTTTTCTCTATAAGTTCTCAATTTTCTAAATGTTTATTATTCAATTTGTTGCAATGAAAGTAGTTCACATAGTCAGAAGCCGATATCCGAATTGGTTTCAACAACACCAGCTTGCAGGAGTAGAGAATATTGCTTGACAAGCCTATTGCTTCAAATTCGTAAATCCAACGTATGCCTCGAACGACCTAAAAAATATATATATATACGAAGATTTTAAAAATGATATTTGACAGTCAATTCTTTTTGGATTCATTGTATCTGTCTGCCACCTACAAAACAATATCCGGTTATAGCAGAAAATTTTATTTAATAATTATATAAAACAATCTCTAAGTTTTCACCATTGAATAGATAATAACGTTTCATTAACGTAAAAAACTATATTTAATTAACTTCATTCAGTTTTTCTCAAGCAAAAGATATTCAATTTAGTTTTTGCATATGTCAGTTTGAGGTAAGGTCTATGCATCCTTTGAGAATTTTGTGAAATCGTGCAATTTGGAGGTTTTATATATATATATGTATATATATTAAATACCATTCGGAAAATTAATGAAATTAAACAGGAATTCTTGGTTTCCCCTGCAACTACCAATTGGAGAGTTTCATAGAATTATTAAGCTCGAAGATGGGTTCAGGAGGTGAATAAACAGTGGCTAATATCTTGTGAAAAGTAAGCATAATAAATGAGTAAATATTTTTTTAGTATTGAGGTGAAAGTCGCTTTGATTTTGTTAACACCTTGGTAATAATACTATAAATAAATAATAATCTCGAACGCATAACTTCGGGACCATACTACGTTTTCAGTGTGTCATTCAATATAGGAAGTATTTCTGAGCACGGTTTACTTACTTGTGACTGAGCTTTTGTGAGTTTTACCAATATCATTCCATTTTCTTTTTTCAGTTCATTTGGAGTTATAGTCTTTAGTATGTTTGCGAGGTCGTTGAAGATTTTATGATCATTTATCTCGTGGTCCACAATGCCCCCAGGAAGAAAATGTTTCACCTCAAAGGAAAGATACTAGAGAATACCACTATAACAATAATAAACTGTATAGAAAAAAAAAGTGAATAATATTTACCTCTCCAAAAGAGCATTGAGCGACTATTAATAAAACTATACCGTGGAAATATTTCATTCTCAACCTGTGTATATCTGGCAATATACTGAATAGACGCGATTCTTTCTAATCTTTTATCAGGAATCTCTGTTAGTTCCTGGATCAGGTATTCGGTTATATCCGTGTTTAATCCGCACATCCTTTTAAGTGATTCTTTTGATAGCACTTCCAACATTGTCATAAATAATAAATTATTTGAATAGCAAGAACAGAATAACCTAGTCAATGATAAACATTGCATTCAAAGGCACATAGTAATAATAATGCTTTATTTATTTAGTCCCTTTATAATAATACAGAAAGACAAAAATGTGGGCTAAGGAGCCTCAGAGATACATAAACAAAAGTATAGAGTAAGTAAATAGTCAAAATAATAAAATAAATTATAATTTACTTTCTAATTTAAATCCGCTAAAAAATAAAAAATTGAAAATAAACATGAAGTAAAAATAATGAAGAACAATCTAACAATTTATATACATATTTACAGTAGTAACTATTTAAAATTTTATGGGGACTGGATGCATAAGAAATGATTGAACAGCCGGGTTTTAAAGGTAGGAAGGGTTTTGGATCGACGGATGTCTGGAGGAATGGAGTTCCATAGGGATGAGGATCGAATAATGAACGATCTGTCGAAAGCAGCGGTTCGGTGGGCCCTTATGAATAGACCAGAAGACCGAGAACGAGTATTGCGGGAACGAACATAGGATTTGAATTGAAGGAGGTATGAAGGACGGTGGGATTGGATGACTTGAAAGAGGAAGGATGCTAGGAAATACTTACGACAGTAGGAAGGATAAAGCCACTTCAACTCTGCATGAAAACGAGAAACAGAGGCGTCCCCGAGAAACAGAGGGATCCCGAAGATGAATCGCGCAAAGCAATTTATCAAACGTACGTATAGTATGTACAAGATTATAATTTTATAAAAGTACACAAATATATATAACAAATAACCAAGTCTGGCCAAATGGTCTCTTTGTGTGTGTAAATGTGAACAGTCTAGCTCAAAAATAAAAAGTCATACGAAGCTGAACTTGCGTATTTACGGTTTGTATATGCCTGGGATGTCAGCAAATTTTTTTATCATCGATTTTACAGATTTTTGCGATTTTCTCAAAAACGGCTCTAACGGTTTTGAATAAATTCAATCTATCAATGTACAATTACATGGCCTCAAAATCATTTAGATCTTATCCTTATTGATGTCGCTCAACGATGCTTAAATGCCGACAATTCAAAATTTCTTCCTCTAAAGTACCTTTAATTTGGTTTATTTTAAGTAATTAACTGTCTCTCGCTGTTAGTATAAAATAAAAGCGTCAATATAAATTATGGAAGAAGTTGATAATTGAATAAAGGAGAAAATAAGAAAAATATTTTTTTCATGTTAAAAATAAATTTTCGGAAATAATAGTCAGATGGTATATGAATAATATATCGTTGAAAATCTGAGAATTTTAGAAATAACAATATCTAATATACAAAGTCGTAGAAGGTAATGGAAAGTGATGACAAAAATATAAATATTAATATCTAAAAACTAAAATTATTTAACTTTATTATTTAAACATATGTTTACAACGAAATTAAATGAAATTTCCTAAATATATAAAACTCACCAAATCAAGGCAATGTCATTGTTTAAAATACTATTTCATTGTACTTGTGTGAAAGAAGAAATGAAATATAAAAATATTTCATGATGGATGTGTAAAACATATGTTTATAACTTACATTCATTTACTGTATTTTTAGAACTCTATATCTGATAATATATTAAAACTAGTTCGCCCGTGCGAATAATTCGCAGAAAATTTTATTTAGTGAAGAAATAGCAAAACAATATGGAAATCAGTAGAACGTATGTATTATGCAAGGGAGGAATTAATATTTTTTCCATGGTCGATTACAATATTCCATTTAACATAACAGAGCAAAATATATGTACAAATTGCATTGCTAGGATCTATTTTTAAACGCTGACTGGAAAGATAATAAAGACAAAATAATGCGCCGATCATGGGATTTTCTAAATTATTAAAAAAAATAAAATGTAGGGACAAACAAATGCTTTTAAGAAATAATAAAGTTAATATATGAGTCAGGAAAAAAACTGTATTAGAATAGTAAATGCAATTTCTTTAAAGAGGAAGACATTATCAAGTATACCAAAACTAATGCATTGTATCTTTGTTAATAATGCCCGATTTTTTTTTTGTTTTTCAGGTAATTTAATGATCTTTCTAATTATCATGGGTTCAATCAAGAAAAAAATTGCATAATGAGTTATTCGCGAATAAAGTTTCTTTTCCTTCATAACTTTTTTCCCTGAAATTTCGAGGGAATAGGACTAGTTTTCGCATGTGGGGAGAAGAATATCTTCAAAATGAGTGGTTAATCATTGTATTTGATAACGAATTGACGATTTTTTTTGGCGTACCGTAAAAAAAATATCTTTTAGAAATAATTTATAGGATTATTATTATATAAAAATTACCAGGCGATAGATATCTAATTATAATTAGATATCTATCCAGGTTAATTTTGAAAATCATCAGATAACATTTAGAAAATTAAATTAGTGAATTTATTTTGTGTGTAATGAAAATGTATTTTTGATATGTGAAATCAAAACATTATCCACTTACAATTAGTGTGATGACTTTTGATCTATAGCTGTATTTAAAAGCTCGTAACTGTATATTGGTAAAAAATAAGGATTTATAATACATAGAATACATATAAAAAGTGACAGAGATTTAATTCTTATAATGTTTACTGATAATCTTGCGTCTATTTGGCGAATGACTAAAAGCTTGTTGAATCATCAAGAGACATCGCATCTAATTCGATATCCTGATGGCTCATGTGCTGAGTCAGACGCTCAGAAAGCTGAATTATTCGCATTCCACTTGGAATATATTTTTACCCCTTACAGTGATTTTTAAGACTTGCTCAGTGAAAAATTGGTAGAACATCAATTAGATATTCCCTTAGAGATGACCTCCTCCTCCTCCCCCCTCCCTCCCGCCGAAACCTTTTCATCTAAATAAAATTGGTAGTATTTTAAATAGTTTACCTAATCGAAGATCTGCAGGGTTCGATCTCATAACTAACTGTGTTCTAAAGAATTTACCACAAAAGGCCATTCTATTTTTAACAAACATATTCAATTCCATTCTTAGAACGACACATTTTCCGATTTTATGGAAATATTCGGTCATAACTACAGTTTACAAGCCCAATAAGCCTATAGACCGTCCTGATTATTACCGTCCAATTAGTCTTCTGCCTTCCTTATCTAATGTGTTCGAGAAAATTCTGTTTCGGCGTTTAAATTCACTTAAACTATTTGATGTTATTCCAAATTTCCAACACGGGTTCAAACAGCACTATTCGGCTATTTGACAATGTTACCGCCATGTAGTTTACATATCTTTCTCGCTAGAATCGTGTTATGATTTGTTCTAATTGATATCATATTTGCTGAATATCGAAGTAGATGATAAATTTATTGTCTGCCAGAAATATGTGAAACTTATAATAATAATTATTATATTTACTATGTAATACGTACCTTACTTATTCATAATTAAATATATAGTTTCAAGTTTCTCTTTGTCAAGAGTTTGTTGGCTCAAAAAACTCTAATCCAAGAACTCACAGACTGGAGTTATGTAATTCAAATAGACTGATGGAGATATTTATTGCCTACAATCGATATAATAAATAGGGTTTGTGTTATTTTAATGTTGTTATTGAGTTTTTACAGTTAGTTAGTTATAAGTTTTAAGAAAGGAAGGAGACGGTCCAGTGAAAACACTTCTATAAGTATACATCGCTACTGTTAGTGTACAAGATCCGTATGTAACAATTTTCCATTTTGAATATTTAATACTTGAACGTTGCATTATAAAGGAAGGAGATGGTCCGAGGTGGCGGTCATAAATAGGCTGAATAGTGGCAAAACTATTTTATTAAAAGCCAACGTTTCTTCAGGTCTTCTTCAGGGCTAGACAAGATAAAAAATGAAATAGAGAATTGTGGAAGTTAAATAATATCAAGACAAAAAATTATAAACAATGTGAATAAGCTTATTAAAATTATAAACAATAAGTACATTAAAATAAAAACATAGTAAGCTAAGTAACAAGATTATAAACTGAAGTAAATAGATGATAACAATTGTTGTAGTGTAATATATAATATATGCAAATGTGAATATACTTCTACAGATCTACAGGAGAGATTGAAAGAAAAAGAAAAAGGATAATGAAATAATATACAAAAAGGAATGTGCAGAAAGAAAAGAAAAAAATAAAACCAAAAAATAAATAAATAAGTTAGTAATAAATATAAAATTAGAGACTTACAGGTGTGTTCAGCTAGAAGTTTTCCATAGAACTGGAAAATCAGGGTAAGGGTAGGTATTGGAGACAAATTCGCTGACCAGTTTGTGTCAATGAGAAAAAAACCTAGAAAATTACAGTATCTAAAATTTCAAGATGGGGATGGATACAAGAGTAAAATACTATATCTATAAAATAATAAACTATAAATATATACATATACATATAAAATAAAATTAAGAGATTATAGATAAGAGTACAATTTGAATAAAAACAAAAAATGGAAGAAGTAAAACGTACATAGAAGTAAAATTTAAATATAGATATAAGAGACCATACATTGTAGAACTAATTTTATAAATATAGAGAGAGAGAGAGAAAAAATATGAATAATTATAATTATATTTGGTTGTACATATGTAAGAAAATTACATTCAAATATTATATAATATTGAGACATGGTTAAAAAGTAAAATGAATACTAAGTGAAAACGGATGATCATACATTGATGTATAATGTAAATATAAAATTTAAATAAAATAAAAGAAAGATCATACAAAGCCGAAATACTTTGAATAATGAACAATTAAATTGAATTAATCAATAAAAATTGAAAGTAGATATTTGCTACTATTTAGTCTATTTATGACCGCCACTCCGGACCATCTCCTTCCTTTATAATGCAACTATTAAATATTCATTATAAGTTTTAAGGTTTAACTTCGTTAAGAATTCACTTAAAAAACTCTGTAATAGCCCATTTTCCAATAAATAATTTCTGTTCGAAGAAGAGCGGTAAGTGACAGTTGTGTGATGCGCGCACCAGATTTTTTTCTTTACAATAATTATAAGATATAACTTCCTCTGCTCTGCTTGGAATTC